CATGCGCAGTAGCTTTGAAATCCAACTCCTTGTACCAGCGCAGGAAAAGCCCGCCAAAGACTAGCAGGGGGCTTCTGCCTCTATAAGAATAGAATCCCCCAGCCCACGTGCCCTTTTTTTTTCCTCTGCTCAGAGCTGGCTCACTCCCGTGTCCTGTGGTGTGTACTATCACTTAATAAACCTCCCCTCTTTCTTTATGCTATAAACTTTGTGTGTTCGGTTCAATTCTTTGTCCTCGATCACTAAGAACCTGGTTACCTGTGCACACCTGTGCACACCTGTGACAAAAGTATATCATCCACATATTGGATTAAAGTGGAAACTTTAAGACATTTAACATTATTTAAATCAGCTTTTAATATCTGGGAGAAATAGGTGAGGCTCCCTGTAAATTTCTGGGTCATATTAGTGTAAGTAAATTACCACTCTTCCTAAATGAAGGCAAAGATATAATGACTTTGCATCACTTTTATTGAAATGCTGATAAAGAAACTATAGAATTTTTTTTTTTACTGAAAACTATTACAGCCCACAGAAATGGCTGCTAATAAGCAGTTTGAATTTAGAATTTTAGAATGTCTGGAAGTAACCATTCTATTTATTGCTCTATGAATATGTACAAATCTTGATTTTTGCTAAGTTTCTCTACTGGCAAGAATAGAATTACTGAAGCTTTTATGAAAATTATGAATCTCTTTAAAGTAATTTTGTATAATGGCCTTAATTCCAGCTAGTGCATCAGGTTCTAAAGTAAAATGGCAAATGTTAGGCAGAGGCAAAGTATTATCAGCCATTATTTTAATGGGAGTGGCTGATTCAACTGCACAGTTAATGTAGTAGAAAGGGCTCGAAGTTGTTTTGAAACATCCTGCAAGAAACATTGAGTGTTGTTATTTTTATTTTCTTTTTCTGAAAATATCCTTATAAGTATTATTTTCCCAATTGTGTCAGCATTCAAATACATTTCACTCTCCCAGGAAAAAATACATAGGTACCATGAGTTTAAAAAGAAATAATCTCTTCCTATCAGGTATACTGTGGCTGATTACACTGGCAAACAAAAATGTGTTGGCTCATAACATTTTATATTTGGAAGGGGAGAAGTTTTTATTTAAGAGCAGTCATTAGTTCAAAAGATATCCCTACCATTTTCACTGAAGATTTACTCTTAACTGGTTGTTGTTAAGAACAAATAAAGTAGTCCCAGGACCTACAAGGGCTTTAGTAATTTCCCTTGTTATAGTTATTTTATTTTCTACCTCTCTCTTAATAGGGAGAAAGGGAAACACCTTTACAGCCCTCTTGTAACCAGAAAAGACACCAGCGATTGGAATGCCTGTCTCTACTAAGTCCAATAAGCAATGATAGTGATTGAATCTTTTATTGGCACTTTATTCAGATTGCAGTCAATCCGAGAAGATGGTGGGTTCATACCCTAACAAACCATCTTCCCCTTTCTTTCCTGGACAGATCTTTTATAAGGGGGTTGGGGAAGAAAAACAGGAGGCAGTGAGAGTCTTTGAAGTTTGCAGCTGCATCACTCCTATCCTGGGCAATTAGCTGTCTCCAAGTGTGAGGGGTAGTTGCCTGCTTCTTCCTGATATGGATGTTTCCAGGCAGTAATCTCTAGCCAGCTCCCCAGGAGATCAGCCACTTTTTATCAGGAGCCAGATGGGCCTTATCTATAGTTTCTGAAACAAAAAGCTTAACATACACATTACTTGCTAGATTTATGGCTATTTACCTTAAGCTAAAATTTTCCAAGTCTTAAGCCCCTATCATTCTGAACAACCATATGCTTGCTTTTGTATTTTTTGTATCTAAATCTCATTTCAGTTTTCTGTAATTTGAACCTTACTTAGTCATTCTCTTCCTCTACTTCCAGGAACCACTAGGAATTAATTTGAATCGGTCAGAATGACCTTGATCTTATATTTTGACCATTAAATTAAATTTTGTGTAAAACAATGAGAGTCCTGGAAAAAAAATCTTTGAAAGTGTTACATAGACTTTTATATTCTTTTTAGTTTTAGTCATATGTATATGATCTTGGCTGTCCTCTGCCTAAGACTGTCTTTTGTTTCCCTGAAGGAAGCTACTAAAATTCTGCATTATTTTTGTCTGAATTTCTATTTTCATTTCCTTTAAGTTTATTTGGGAATTGTAGTGGAGGAGATATAAAGGACATAATAAAAAGGGAAAAGGAAGAAAGAGGAAAATTCCAGGCAAAAAATTAAAAAAAAAAAACGTCAGAGAGCACAGGAAATACTGAAGGAGGTATAGAAGGAGAACGAATGAGGTGCTGGAATTTATTAGCTATAGAGACATTCTTTAGTTCAGAGACAGTCCCTAAAAGTTTTTATTATTTTTAAAGAGAATTTATCTGTTCTCCTCCTAGAAGCTGCAAATTTCCAATAAAGATATGTTTGCCATTTATTCAGTTAAATTTCAGAGCGCTTTTCATTTATTTTTTTATAAATGTTTAGTTTTGCATGGAAAACTTAATTAGATGCCAGTAGAGGTATTCTCTGGCCATCAAAAATGGACACCTACTATATTAAAAACTTCACATTTCTCTAAGTACTTGCAAATAAAGCTTTTTTTATTTATTGTCTATCTGCCAGTGTAGTAACGAGGGGAATGGGGTTGAGAGTATTCAGCCTTGCATGTTTGATTTTTCACATTAATATATTTTACACTTCTCTGGATATTTGCAGACTTTGAGTAAATTTCTGGGGATATTGCATGGTAGCTTTCAGTGGGCTGCTTAACAGTTGAATTCCAAGGAGCAGTTACCACCTGAGTCACATCAATGTCTCCATTGTGTCTCAGTTTCCCTCCCAGGAGGTAGGTAATCAACCTTCATGTGCACATCTTCCTGTGATCTTTTACTGAATTACTTTTGAGTTTTAATGCTCTACAAGGTGTTGCACATTTTGAGGGATTTCCTCAGACACCTGCACAGAGATTCTTAGTCACCCAAGAACACCAGAGACCATACCTTCAGGGAGGAAGTGCCTTTTGTCTTCAGAGGCAACAAAGTGTGGTCTCTCATTTATCCTGCAAAACATTGTGTTCAGACTCTCAAAGAGCAATTCCACTTGAAAGCAAAGTGAAAAAGCAGCCATAGTTTGTTTTTTGTTGTTGTTGTTGTTTTGTTTTGTATGAGTTTTCAACTCTTAGTGTTAGCCTGGTTGCTTTTAACTCTTAACTTTTAGGTTCACAGTGAGGACGTTAAAAAATATTCCAAGAAATTTAGGCCTTTTACTTTAAAGCAGGGAAGTCCAGAATTCTGAGAAAAACTCCCACAAGCTCACTTGATCCAATTCCAAGAGTTACTGAGACACAATGTGTCCCCAGCTGGTGTCCAGCAAGGTGATCCTGGAAAAGCTTCTCCAGACTCCCTCCACAAAGTGCCACATAAATGTTAAAGTAAGAAATATTCAGATATGTAGAAATAGTTTAGCAGTTTACTTTCAAACAAGAAACAATATATCAACAAATAATAAAGTGCTCCAGAGAATGGCAGTTTTGTACCTCATTTTATACATTAGCGTCAAAGGAAAATCGTAGGGGTTACATTAAAATCATTGGTGATGGATTAGGGAGTCTGGAGAAAGCAAAACAGATGAAACACATGGGACTAAATAAAAATAAAAACAATAGACATAAGCTGTTTACATTGATGTGTACAGTAGAGTTAGCAGTGAATCGATATGATAACAGTAACATTGAAAATGTTTTCTCCTGCAATGACAAAAATACAGTGGAGAAGCAAAAAGTTCCTCCACATCCCATGAGGGTCCCTCCAGGTTTCCTTGTGTTCATATCACCCTCTGAAACTCACATTGCAAAGTGCATTCCCTGATCGACTCAAAAAAATCATTTTTGAAACCAGGGTCACTCCTTGAAGCAGAAAACATAAGCACCAAATGAAAATTCAGGGCTCTTTGTTCAAAATCATGAAAAATTGTATAATGGCAAAAGCAGAGGTTAAACCTCCTAAAAGCTGTTCTAAGTTTCTTCACTGACTATAAGACTATGAAGCTGGACTTTTCCAGCACGAGAAATGGATGTGTTCAACCACCAAGACAAATCTATCTGAAAACTCTCACAAAAAAAAAAACATACACAACTACAATTAATATCATCCTTAACTGTGCAAACTAGATGCCTCCCCACTGAAGATGTCAAAAAGCACTTTCTTAAATTCCTTAGACATATTCTCTCAAAGATAAAAATGGATTCCTGCTAATGTTGATGCTGTAGAGCAAATGACCTCAGTGATGGCAGTGACACCAGTGACAACATTAGCTTGTGTGATCAGAAGTTGAATCAAAGTTTCAGCTGTATTAACAACTACATCCATGACCATTCAGGGATCTGCTACATCTATGAGACTTTCATGGCTCCAATAGTTTGGGACATGCTGCACTTACACTCCAGAGTAACCAACAAGTGGCTGTGCTTGACCACTCCAGCACTGTGACCTGTCCCATAGCTCTTCTGTGTAGAATCACAAGCAGTCCACTCCAACTGGAAGAAAAAGGATCCACTCACTTTAAGTTTGTCCTTGCCCTCAATCCCACCTCTCACATGCACAATCCATCAGCCACCTCTTTAGTTGTTCCCAGGTTCCTAGTCAGACTGTGTCCTTGACACACAAACTTCCTAGGACATGATTAGCTTGTTGGCTCAGCTTAGTGATATCATGAGGCACAAGGCTGAAATTCAGATCTTCACAGCCTCCCAGGACTTGGAATAACTGCATTCCTCAAGGCTTCCTGTGATAGTGTGACAGGACATACTGTGCAGTAGCTATTCCCAGATAGGAGCTGGACAGCAGCCAGTCCCAGGTAAGCAGTTATCTCAAGTTCGTAGGCTAACCCTGCTTCCCGCTTTCAGCAGCTGCATTCCTCCCCCTCCTCCTATGCCTCTGTAACAAGGATATAAATCAGCCACAGTCGAAAACTCGGTGCCCAGAACTTGGAATTTATCTCCTCTGGGTACACATGCCTGAATAAACCCCACTTGGTAAATTCCCAGGCCATCTGAGTCATCTCTTCTGTAACATTTTGTTTCCCTGACTGGGAAACGACTCATGGAGCCAAGCTGATTGCCTCCAGTGAAGGCAGCCAAGGGGCTGAGCGTGGGGCCTGGCAATGATAAGGAGGTGCATGCCCCGGTGATTTGAGGTCCTGGACATAGGCTCAGCCCCCGGACCACTCTTTGACCAAGCCTGGTGGGGTGCAAACTGGTGCAGTCTGTGTAGTCGCCAATCTGGTAAGTGCCCTGGGGACCAGGAGCCTGAGCCAACACCCACCCTTTGTGGTTGAAGGAGGGACTGATCACCCCTCAGGCTGGGAGGCCGAGGCAGGGTTCCCACTGTTCGGGTGGGTGGGATTGTAATAAACTTGGAGTGTTTGTGTGAATGACTGTGTTTGTTGCTCCATGGGTGGAAGTCTACGGAGCATGAGAGAGCCCTAACCTGCGGTTCCTCGGTCTATCATATGGCATAACAGCTGGGAGTTTAACCATAATTCTACACAGGCAGCCTTAGCTAAGACGAACCTAAGCACCCTGAGAGGGGGGAGTTCAGGCAGATGACCTGAGAATCCCTTCCCTTGTCTGTCAGCACCAATTGGGAGAATTCATCATGGGGGGCATGTCTCTGCCATGAGACTGGATCTGAAAGAGCAAGTCTCTGCCCTTGGTGTTGTTTCTGATCAGAAATCCTCTGTACTTGAAGACCTGTTTAAGGTCACCTGTAAGACCTAGGAAAGGTAGCTGTAACTGGTTGAGGAGAATGCCTTTGCCACTTGGGACCCAGGGAGGGTCATTTGGTGCTGATGAGTGCTTCAGCCAGAGGCAAAGCAGCATGTCTCTGCCAAGAGACTGGGCCTGAAGGATCATGTCTCTGCGAGGCACCAATGGACACATTGGTGTAAGAGAATGCTTCCACCTGTGTAATGTCCTGGAATTCTGTGTTTTGAACTTTGCTCTGTATCTTCTCTGAAAAGGAATTTGAGGATTCCAGGGAAAGTTGAAATTTCACACTCTATAGGATACTAAATGAGAAATTACAAGATATGAAAATGAAGAAGGTCATTGGGAAACTGTACAAATGAATGGAAAAGTAAGAGTTGTAGGAAGGAATTATGTGGTGTTTGTTGGTAATAGAAGGTATAAGGCATGGAGATGCAATCTTGGTGGATATCATAAGCTGTATGAAAGAAAGAATAGAGGGTTTGTGAGTGTTGCAGAATGTCTGGAAGTGAAAGTTTTGAGAAGCCCAGTGTATATCAGGAAGGGAAGGACTTTCCCTCATGCTTTGTATTTTTCTCCCTACTTTACCCCTCCAGAATTTGGCACTCTGAAGTAGTGAGTGAATACATAAGGTTTCTTTGCATAATACCAATAAGACCTGTTCACTAATAGTGGTTTTGTTAACCAAGACTTTGACTGGAATGTCACATCTGAAGGAGGCATGTATGGGTTCTGGTCATCACCAGAAAGCCCTGGGGAACTGAGATTGACTTGCGGAGCTAGGGTGAGACCATGAGAAAAGCCTGGTACTTTGGTTGGTTGTGGTGTTCATGGCAGTCTTTACTGAATGATGGCCAAAAAGAAACCTGTGGGCGCAATGGAAGCCTCAAGGATTTGACTGAAACAACTGGTACAGGAAAACCCAGATGGCACATGTGTGGCTCTACTTCTGTGCCTCGAGGGTCAGACTGAGAAGTCAATCTAAAGGTTCCCTGTTTGAGTTCCAGCAAAGCAGACTTAAAGATCATAAGTGATCCAGGCTGCTCTTGGTGTGTTTATGCAAACAAACAGTCAAAATGAAAAGTGGGACTCAAAGAAGTTCCTTTAATAACAGTGAGGGTGATCTTAAGGAGAAAAATTATTGTTCAATGAAAATCACAATGCTCAGTATTGGACTTCAGAATGACGCAGCTAACTGTCTTGAAAGTTTCTTTTCATTTGAAAGTTAATACTGGTTTTGTAATATCATCAAATATTCACAATTTACAGGTACAAAGGACTTGTGAAACTTCCATTGCTGAATGTCATTGCAGGAAAGAGCTTGAAACTGAACATCTTCCCAAAAGACAGTCTCACAGGCACAGAGACTGGTTTGGGGACTATTGTGTGAATTAACCTGTGTGTTCTTCTGTGTTCATAGGATGTATGCCTATGACTTAATTATCTGAGTGATTAGTTGCAATACAAACCTCACTTAAGGAGCCCATTTCTCATCGTTGCCTGCTGAAACTCAACAGTTTGGCTGAAATAAGTGGTTGGGTTGGTGAGCTGTCCGGGCGATCTGTGGGCTTCACTTTAGAACTGATTTTCCCTTTTCTGTCTTGAAGGCTAGGACAGAAAGGGTTCAGATATCTGGAAGGAGGGACATCCTAATATATTCCCATCAGCCCGAGTGAAGTATAATGGGCCACGAGAGTTTTGGATAGGTGTAGCATGCCTTGTACACCTTCCTCCAGGTAAGCCATTCTTTACATAAGTTCCTGCCTTTTTCATTTAGTGGTTATGATTTAATTCGGCCTTCCAACTCTTTTCAAATCTGTCATGTACAGAATATGACCAGGATGCCAACGGTCCAATAATGGCAGTTTTTGGACACCAATCCTGTGACTTTCTTATGATAGCCAACTGACCAGGATTCTGTAAGGTCCTTCCCCACACAAGAGGTACTCCCTCTGTGCTGCACCCTCCACCCATCAGGGCCCCCCTGACCCACAGGTAGGTAGGATGACCTCCATGTCCTGCTGGAAGTAGTTACCAGAAGATGAGACCTTTTTCCATTGCCCTTTAAAATAATTTAAAGTGGATGTCTATCTGAAATGACAGATTGTTCTGGGGTGCAGCCAAGAGGGGGGGCCCAGAAAGGCATTTAAAATGGCATCCAAAACTCAAGGCATCCAGGAGATTTTAAGGTGTCTTCCACCTTTCCCCCCAGGTATGAGTTGGGGGAAGGGACACACAGAGCAAGAACATGCAGAGCTGTTTTGTACAGCAAGAGCTTTACAGGTAATCCATGGCACAGTCATTTGAAATACCTATTGCCTTTGGCTGGTCACTTAGATATGCTTAATAGCTGTGGCCATGCTCTGGGCCAGGAAGATGGAAGGAGACTACCCCCTACCCAAGATGTGACTGGGGGGCATGTCCCCCAAGTTACAGCTCCTGCGTGGGTACTCAAAGAAGACTGGCTCCATGATATGGGGCCACACCTGCCAAGACGCATGATGGCAGCTGGAAGGGAGTGGGTGCCGATCCATCCAGGATCTGCGGGCCTTCAATGAAGCAGCTGTCACCCTCTACCCTGTCGTCTCGAACCAGTACACCCTCCTTAGCCAGCTTCCCCCAACAGCAACATGGTTTACCTGCCTTGATCTATAGGATGCCTTTCTTACATTCCTGTGGCACCTTCCAGCCAACCCATTTTTGCCTTCAAATGGGAAGATCCGCACACTGCGATCAAGACTCCATTGACCTGAACTAGAATGCCCCAGGGGTTTAAGAACTCCCCAGACTTATTTGGGGAAGCCCTAGCAGGAGACCAGAAGCCCTTCGCTGAGGGGGGCTGGACCTGATGATTCTGCAGTATGTGGACAACCTCCTCTTGGCAGCCTCATCCCAGGAATAGTGCTGGGAGGGAACACACACACCTGGCTGAATTAAGGAAAGAATACCAGAAGCATATATATTGAACACACTCCTAGTCTTCATGTGGAGTTACAGAAAGCACGCACTGTGTATCTGAAGTGTCCCAACAGCCATCTGCACAGTCCTCTGTCATGGCCCTTCTCGGTGCTCGGTAGTGTTCGCCTGCCCCAGAAGCCTGTGAGCTACCTCGGGTTCCCGCAGTGTATCCTGACACAGCTCTTGGCATCCAGGTTTGTCAGAAGTACTCACGGTGTGATCATGGGCACAAACGGAAAATGACAGAGTTGCCCACACCCTCCAGAACCTCATCTGATTTCTGAGAGAAATGCTTGTTCTTCTGAGAAAAAGCCCACTTAAACCCTGATGCTGTGGAACTTGGCCCCTCTACCAGGCTTTGAAGGGTCCAGATATTAAGCCCCTAGAAAGTGGAGAAAATGAAGAGAAAGCCTTCCAAGATATCAAGGGATGTCTCAGTGATGTTCCTGCCCTTGGACTTCCAGATCCAGGGTGGCCTTTTGATCTGTATACCCATAAGAGGGACAAGGTAGCCCTTGGATCCTGACTCAGCCTGTCTGACCATGGCAATACCTGGTAGCTGACTTGTCTAAGCAGTTGGACCATGTGGCCACCGCCTGCTCACCTGGTCTTAGGTCAGTCGCTGCTGCAGTGACCCTCTTGCAAGAAACAGACAAGTTAACTCTAGGCCAAGAAGTCAGTCTTCACATACCACATGGAGTGAACAGCCTCCTTGCTGGGCAGGGTCATACGTGGCTGTCGAATCCTAGACTGACTCAGTACCAAGGCATCCTCCAAGGAAACCTGAGGGTGCATGTTAAGACCAGGAAATGAGTCAATCCAGCTTCCTACTTTCCTGCAGAAATTAGGGAGCAGGACCATGACTGTCTCAGAGTAACCAAAGAGGTCCACATCAGCCACCTAGACCTCTGGGACCAGCCCCTGGCCCAACTTGATGTCACCTACTACATGGATCGGAGCAGCTATATGGTTGAGGGCAGGAGAGTCACCAGGTATGCAGTAGTGGATGACTGCAGAATAGTGGAAACTGCCAGATGGGAGAATATATATACCACAAGGGCAAGCTAGCAATCTAGTAAGGAAGTGCCATGACCTCACACATACGGGCAAGACCTCCCTAGAAAATCTGCTGAAGAGGTATTTCTATTTCTCCAAAGTGGCAGTATTTTTGCTTCGCCTCAGCACAATGCATAACATGTGCTCGGAAAAATGCCGCCGGGCACCCGTAGATGAGGCTGGGATACAGCACACAGGCAGACAACCCTTTGAAGACCTGCAAATAGACTTCACTGAAGTCAGGCCTAACTGAGGGTTTAAATACCCCCTGGTGATCGTGTGAACCTTTTCTGGATGGGTTCAGGCTTTCCCCACCAAGAAGGAGAAAAGCCGGGAAGTCACCTGAGCCCTCCTGAGAGAGGCCATACCAAGATATGGATTGCCTCTGACCATTGGAAGTGACAACAAGCTGTCCTTTGTCTCACAAATCATCCAAGAAACATCTAAGCTTCTGAACATCATGTGGAAACTACACACTGCCTGTCGACCCCAGAGTTCTGGGAAGATGTAGTGGATGAACTGGACTCTTAAAGAAACCTTAGCTAAATTTTACCAGAGAACTGCCCTTCCCTGGATGGACTTGCTGCCATTAGCATTGCTTAGGTTGCAGGCATCACCCCTTGGATCCACTATAACTGGGCCAAAACAGCAGCAGATCGTGAGGACCCGAGGACTAGGCCTGCACCTAGAATACCCATGCTGAGGCACCGGAGGATGCCAGAAAGTAAAGAAGACACCAAGGAATGGACCATTGTTCCACAGAGTACCTGACTTTAATTGGCATCTTCTAAGGAATATTGGGAATAGGACTAGTGACTGTGGCCCCTCAGGAATGGAATCCCACAGAGCAGATCACCCTAGGAATAGTTTATCTCTGTTTGGTCTCTGCATTTGGGTTTATGGTATGCTTCGCTTGACAAATTTGGCCCCTGTCTCAGCCCCAGCCTGCAAATGTAATACCCCCAGGCATAGGATTATGCTCAGCAGTAGACTGGTCTCTTACTGTCTCCCAGGGTCAGCTTTCAGCCCCTCCACTGACATGCCATGGGGCTGCATTCAGCCACAGCAATCCCTCTGTACTTGGGGAGGGAAGGTATACTGGACTGGAATGATATCCAGGACCATAGGATACCAGACCTGGAGTTGTCAGGCATGTGGGACCCTGCATCCTCTGGACCTTGGTCCAACACCTGGAGGCCATGTTGACTCATACGGCAGCTGCCAAAGTGTTAGCCCTCCAGTGGTACCAACACCACTACCAGCAGTTGCAACTCTTCCCAGCACCTCAGCCATATAGCGAGGTATATGGTGATGCTAAATGGATAGAAACGCCTTATAGCATCAGAAGCAGGGACTGTGACAGGACATACTGTGCAGTAGCTATTCCCAGGTAGGAGCTGGACAGCAGCCAGCCACAGATAAGTAATTATCTCAAGATTTTATGCTAACCCTGCTTTCTGCTATTGCATGCCCGCTTACAGCAGCTGCATTCCTCCCCACTCCTCGTTTGCCTCTGTAACAAGGATATAAATCAGCCCCAGTTGAAAACTTGGTGCACAGATTTTGGAATGTATCTCCTCTGCTTCCACATGCATGAATAAAATCCACTTCATAAACTCCCAGGCTGTGTGAGTCATCTTTTCTGTAACAATAGCCACCTGCACACATCTCTACTGGACCAGAAGAAGAAACTGAACACTTCTGCCTTCCAATTTGGTTTTCAGCCCGAAGGCTGTCCTGTGGTCCCCACATTGTTCAGTCAATTTTTCAATGCCTTTTGTAGTCCGAGTATCCTGCAATCCAACCACCTTCCAGAGACAAATCCCAAACTCCCTTTGCAGGTATTCAATTGCCCTCTTCCTACAACATTTTATTGCCCTCCACACTCCTAGCACTCCACAGAATGCTCATTTTCATCTCCCATTTGTCTCATGTCTCCTACCAACCTGTACATCTGACGATTCATTGTGTCCCATTGTCAGGGAATTTGTCTGACTTTCCAAGACATTACCCTTTCTTCCAACATTGTGTCTCAGCCTTCATGCCAATCCAAACTTGGGGAAATAGCACCCTTACTTCAATGCACCATCTCCATACATCAGACCCTTACTCACATTTTGGCCTCATCCTAAGGCTCCCTGCAGCCCTTCTTTGTGGCACCTTGGAGTTATCTTGAACTTACACTGCCTCACAACCGCAACATGCCAAGGTTTGCAATTCTCATCCTGACTATATGCAGAACCCATCCTCCAGGAGCCCCCCTCTATGAATACATCTGCTAACCAACTATCTACCTTTGGTTGGATCTTCAATGATTTCAGCCAAGTAACTCAGATGCCACAAGAAGCAGGAATAAACAGAGACACAGAAGAAATTGATTCCCTATTATCAAGTTTTCATTGCAACACACTAAGGACAGGCATGTGGAATGTGTGAAAACTACAAAGAATCAAAACACTCACCTCTGGCCTTACCTCCTCCTGATGGAGGGTCCAAAATAGGGTCTTTTAATTGCAGCCCTACTCATGGCTACCATGATGGGGATTTGCTTATTAACTAGAGATTTTCAGTTCCATGGCAGATATCTCACTTTGTATTTAAAAACTGTCTCTCCCCTCACACCACACAGGTTTGCAAGATGGGCACCTCCACATTCCTGCAACAGCTCCAGTTGCTCCTCCGTCAACAGGTACTCAGCTCCTAATTAATATTTTTCTATCACAAGCTGAAACCCCAAAGAGCTCTTTTCCAAAGCATTCCTTCATCCTGTTAACCCTATACAGTGTCTACACCTCCCAAACTCTTCAGGCTTTACAATTTCTAATCCTGACTCTGAAGAGGCCATCCACCTATGGCCCTTATTTCTACCCACTGCTGCTTATGCACAATCCACTTCTTGCTGCATCTCCTAGGATTTCAGTCAAACATGCCATTGGTGATGAGAAGCAGGAAGGAAACCAGAAAAAAAAACGGGATTTATTTTCAATTTCCCATGTTCTTGTTGTGATCTATGTAAGCACAGACATTTGGTTTGTAAAACCAAGAAGGAAAATAAAAAAGAATGAGGTCACTGGTGACTGGCCTAAACTCCTGGTGAGAGAGAGAGATCAAAACGGGGTCACCCACTTGGGGCATGAGAACAGCTGATAAGACAGGGACACACATGTTTATTAGATTTGTGGAGTTCCATGACAGAATGGTGTTTAAATACCTGTAGTCTTGATTCTTAACGGTGCACTGAACATTGATCTCAAATGAGAACACCATTGATGGTTAGTCCCTGAGGAGGTGCACCATGTGTAGCTTCTGTCTCTTCTCAGATTCTGGCACCAAGGCTTCTTTGAGGAAACCTAAGGCAGCAAAAAATGTGGGCTGTCAGGATATTTCCTGATATGGATGCCAAGTCAAAGGAGAAGGAAGAAAACAGAAATCATTTATTTCAAGGCAGATAAAAAAATAAATGGAAGGTGAAAAATATGGGAAAGATTGACACAGTGAGCAAGATGACAGTGTTGTGGAAAATCCACCCACACTCGGGGAGATAACAAAGCACAAACTTTATTACCCAGGGGGGTTCAGGGATTAATTCCAAATCCTGAGCCCAAAAAGGCTGGGTTAGGGGTCCTTTTTATATACCAGTTACACAGGCAGAAAGGGCGGGGGAACCAGCTGCTGAAAGCAGGCATTCAGAAGCAGGAGCAAGGTCAGTGGCCTTGAGATAACCAGCCGTTGCCTTGGTTACGACTGGTCAGCTTCTACAGTCCTGTGTGAAATTTTGCAAGTGTTACAGTTAGAGAGGAACTTTTGGAGTTTTTCTTTTCCTGCCACAACAGAATTAGATAATTGCAGGTAGGTGTTGCCCAAGTTTAACAGGAGTAAAATCAATATAAAAATGGAAGAAAATATTATTCAAGCCATTCAAAAGGGCAGTGAGAATGAACTCAAAATTTCTGAAACAGAAGCCTGGAAGCAATTTAAGAAGAGTAGGAAGCATAGACAATTCTGTTTCTAAACTGACTCTACACAAAAGAAAATTAAAATTTCTCATGAAATCCTGGCATGAGGTCATTTTACATCTTGGCTCTAAAGTTTCCCACAAAAGTTAGGCTTCTGTGTTTTTTCAGCGACTGGGACACAGAGACGCCAGTGTAAATCATTTCAGAAGAATGAACCTAAACCTTCTAGATGCATAGACTAGAAAGAAGCTTTGAAGGATACCTGTGTGTATTTCAGAAGAGAAGAGCAAGAATCTGCAATTACAAATTGCATGTATATTTCCAAAGAAAATGATCTAAAATGAGAACTCAGAGGTGGGTACACAGAAATAACCTGTCAATTGATTAAGAAATCTGAGAGAATATTCAACCACCTAGGACATAACAAAACTGATTTTCACACAATGTACAAGAACACACCTAAATCTCTTTCAGCCAACACCCAGTTTGCATTTCCATCAATTCCTGCAATGTGTGAAGAGTGGCAAATTTACAGCCATCAATAAACAGGTTCAAAAATATGTGAGAGGTAAGTTCTGATCTTCCAGAAAACTGTGTTTCTTAAGATTTTCATAGAAATGTGAATATTTTTTTTTCTGTAGTGACTTTCTCTTAGACCAAATGTCATCTCCAAGAAAGAAGAAAAGTTTTGATCCTATGACATGGCTGGTGAAACTGGATTTTCCCTGATTTGTTACTTAACTACATAGGAACTGACATTCATATTATACTATACTCTACCAAAACTTCCTTTCATGCAAACTTAGATGGGAGTTTTAACAGCCTGCTGAGGGTAGTAAAACTACCCTCACACTTCACCTGCAGTCTCCCTAGGTTTTGGTAATTTCCTCTTCCTAAGAGGTACTAAAATACCAATCAGGTTAATGAGAGCTTTCTAGAGGGTAAGATCATTTCTAATTATGTGGCCATTGTTCTTAAGTAGGACATTGAAGTCAAAGCCTTGGTTGTATTAAGAAAGTTTGCAATTATATCTTATTCACAAAGAGGACAGAGTCATGGCGAACTCATGCAAATAATTCTGTTGCTGTGAAAACAAAAATCCTCAAACAGAGTAGACAATGTGGAGGAGAATCAAATGTTGAAACAAAGAGCAGTGTAGCTCCCCACATGCGTGTCCTTTAGTCCATTCCCATTGTTTAAAACTGTATGCAGGTGCCCTCCACACATCCACAAGTAGGTGGTCTGAGCTCAGATTCTTATCAGCTTATCACGTGCTCCTACCAGTCATCTCAAGACCACTGCTTGTCCTTGGAGGAACACAGTGTCACTTCCATGGTGAAGAGCATCTTAGATGAACCAGAGGTGGGATGTGGTGTGGAATATGAATTTAGCTCAGCAATAATGACAAGGTCAGCTCACATTTTTGAGTATTTATTGACTCAGTGTAAGTATTCTAAGGACTTTCCAGATCAACAAAAAATCTATTAAAGATGCCAAAAAAAGAATTATGAGTTCAATAACACAGAGGAGGGAGATGTGTCACTCATATATTACATCTAATTGGAAGAAACAGATGTGTGAAAATGTCACACTGTTAATTCTTACCATTATTTATTTGACAGGGTCTATGATAAATTTACTGAATTGCCAGTTTAATAGGGTAACTTGGTCAAGTCGAAATAATATTAAAACTTTTGCCTTGGCAGAACCAGAGAGATGGGCATGATGCTAAGTCATTTTGCCACGTAGCAGAGGGACTTTCTGAACCTATTAGAGCAGCTTAGAGGCAGGTCCTGCATCATGGGGCCAGGCATGCCTGGATTAACTACCACAGCTGAGAAAGGTAGAAAATATAGGAGTGCTAGTGTTTCCAAAACAAAGGGTCCAAGGGGGGCCAAAGGCAGGCTGAGGGCAATGTACTATTAACAAAAGGAATCCCCTAGTTTCATTTTGTCCTCCACCTTATAGGAAAGACATCTCTGAATGCCAAAGATTCGAGAAAAGGAAAGGAAATGTTTATTTAATATTATATAGACTTAAAGTAGTGACCTAATGTCTTCATCAAAATCCCAAAGTCCTTTAAAACACCCACAAACACCATAGCCCTTCCTTCCCCCATTTGCCCAGTCTGGGGTACCATATCTCAGGAAAAGACAAAGAAGTCCATGGCTCAGGCAGCCCAGTTCTTCCCACTAATTTGTCTCAGCTTGTAGGTCTCCCTCAGTTCCCCGCACCATCAGCTCTGTCTCTGCAATCTCCGCTAAAGCTGGGTTGTGGTTCTCCCTTGTAAAGCTGGGAGGGTAAGTTGTGTGGCTCTCTCGGCACAATCGCTACAGGAGTCCCCAGTCTTGCAAAGCCACATGGTTCTCTCCACACAATGGCCGCTGGAGTCTCCAATCAGCCAAACCACCTGGTTTTCAACCTGATCTGGCTGCTCATTTAGGTTTAAATCCCTGTGCCAGTCTTTCTCTGCAGCCCGATTTCTGACTCCTCCCACAACAGGCTACACTTGCCAGCACTCTCATATCCTTCCAGCTTTACTGGGCTTCCCTCATGCATGTGGGCAGGTGTGGTGTTGGAGTCTGCCCTACCTTGTCTCAGGAAGCTGTAACCCCCATGACTTAGGCTGAGTGAGAGACCTCTGAAACAGGAGAAACTAAGGAAACAAACTTATTTTCCTGGCATGAACGCTGCCTGTTCTGTGCCTGGCCTCCAATGCTTGATCACTTAGCCAATGATGGGTAAGATTTCCCAAGGAGGGAATAGCCTAAGACAGGCATGATCACATGGAGGCCTCAGGGAAGAGACTCAGGGGCCTGTGGAAATGAAGGAGTGATCAACATCGACCCCTGCCCCCTCAGCTTTGTCAAAGCCTGAGTCCTTATTCTTAGTTGTGAGAAATCCAAGTCTGCTGGCTGCCTTTGTCTCCTCTGCCACACTCAGGCCTGTGGAAATAACAGGGGGAGTGCAGTTCAGACCAGAGTTGGCAGACCCCCAGGGTAATCAGGCCTGGGACATAGAATATGCAAGATCCTGTGAAATCTGCTTGCTGGAGGATACTCTAATACTCTTGAATTAGAATATGAAGGCATGGGCAGGAAACAAAACTAGCCTTTTAAATCCTGTATTCTTTTTAAGGGATAAAACACAAACTCTCAGCCCAGAATCCCAGAGGGAGATCTGCCAGCACCTTTGAAAGCTACCTATTTCTTTTGATATTCCCTACCAGACTATAATCCAAAAACTGTGTCTGTATTCTTAATAAAAGCCTGCTCAGGTGGGGACTTGGGATGCTCTCTACTAGAGAGAGTGGCCATTTTGTATCTATTTCCCCACAGGATTCGGTTGTCCCCTTGTATGTTTTTCTGGTGTTTTGACAAGCATCCTCAGCGATGGATACTGCTGGCTCAGTATCCTTCTCAGCATGCCCCTGTCACAGAGCCAATCTTCTCCAAGCTTCCACACAGGCCCTGTAACTCAGGGAACCAACTCCCCAGTTATGTCTTGGTGTGGAATTTACTTCCATCCCCCTGGCTAAGAGCAAGGCCATAGCTATTTAACATATCTTTGTAGCCAGTTAAAGGTTATAGATATGTTAAATGCCCATGCCAGAGGTTAGCTCCTAAGCTCTTGCTATGCAAAACAGCTCTCAATGGCCTTGTACCATTTGTTCCTTCCCCCAGTCCACACCTGTGTGTGTGCATAGGGGGTGAGGACATCCTAATATTTCCTGGACACCTTGAGTTCTAGACCCCATGCCAAATCCCTATTTGGGGCACTGTGTTACACTAACAGGAGTAGGGAATTGTGGATAGAGTCAGAATTGAGGTTATGGAGGAGGATCCAGGATGGAATTTAAATAAAAGGTGGTCTGCATTGTATGACACGGATAAGGAGAGACCTGGCAGGAGCATGGGGGGCAGGAAACAGGTGAAAAAGATTCTCGACAGCCAGCCATGAGGAGATCCCACATGGTTTTGGTTTAAGAACTGGAGATCTCGAAGACATAGCTGATGGTGTTGGAAACTGAGGGAGACCTGCCCAGCCAAGCATGGATTATGGGGAGGAAACAGGAGAAGTGAGCTGCTGACTTCAGTTTTGTTTTGTTTTTCTCTTGTGGAAGGCACTACTTCTGACTGGCATGATCTGAGACTGGCCTCACTAGACAAAGAAAGGTGGGTACAAAGTTGTGTTTCTGGTTCTATCTTTGTTTTCTGAAGGAAGTGAGATTTGATAGCAAAATTCTGCCATTATTCTAAACCTGTATGCATTTAGTTAAATAATTCTTTTCTTTTTTTACCATACTATGGCATTGAGAGCCACAGTCCTGAATATAGTAGTGAGAAGAACCTATTGTAACAAAAGACCCTGTGGGGGTTGTGTCTATAACAGCAGGACAGATTAATTCTTTCCCTGAGCTGCAGACTCATGCCACTGAATAATCACTGTGTGGAGATCACATTTATGTTGCAAGTCAGGACTATGGCATCCTTGTAATCTCTGACTGTAGTGTTGCTGCCTAGGAGGGTGGTCATTCCCATGGATTCTATAGAGATACATATGATGTAACATTTTGAGAGTGGGCTTGGGACCTGGGGCCATGCAGTTTCCTCTGAGCAGTCACCCACTCATAGTATATATTAGGCTCTTTAACCTTCACCAGGTCATGGTTCTGAGCTGTGAAGAATGACCATTCTCATCATTGAGATGACAATGTATACAAAGTGGACAGTACCTTCTCTCTGGTGCCAGATTACTCCAGGGTGACCCCTGACTTATTCCTGTGAACATCTCCTTTATACTAGCACAGGAATCCACTTCCAAGCCATTGTGTGGTCCACATTATCACATGAATATTTTTCTCAAAGCTTTTATTAATTATTTCCCAGACATTTCTTAGACTTCAAAATTGTGCAAGTCACACTCCTCATGTAAACTTTGATAAGTGTCAAAGAGGGTAGGCTTACCTCCAGTATAAGCATCTGGGCCCAGTGAAACTTCACTATAGCTGGAAAATTATTTACCTCTCATTAAATAATTTGTGAGGAAAGAAAGATGAACCAACCCAATATTCACAATCTTGGTTTTTCAGAAGTTTCATCTAAATAATTCCTCAATATTTGAGACTTTATTTTCTTGGCTAACAAATTAAATGTTACCATCAAGTAAAATCACTAGATAGAAGTAGTTATGGTTTTCATAAAAGTAAAGACCTGTAGACATAAAAGGAAACCCCACTGTATGTTAAATGTCATGCTTAAAAGCCTATAGATAGCACAATACTGCCAGGAAAAACACCAAAAATGTTAGTAAAATCATGAACCATATAAAAAGTGCTTCTCTCCCCACTTATTCAACATTGTACTGCAAGTTTGGCTAAAACAATTATGCAGAAAGATAAAATAAATGTATCAAAATAAAAAATGAAAAAGAAAATGATCTATTTTAACAGACAACATAAGGTTACATGTAGAAAACATTAAAGAGTTCACCCCCTAGCCCCAAAACATGTTAAAACTAATAAATTCAGTGCAGTGAGAAGAGAAAAAGAGCCTTATTTCATTTCTATGCACCAACAATAAATATCTCAAAAAATGAATTAAGAAAAAAGTTCCATTTATAATACCATTACAAAGACTAGAATTCTTTGGAATAAGCTTTTAAAAAGAAATGTAAGATGTATACACTGGAAGCTACCAAAGTTTTATAAAAGAATGGAGTACTATGCAGCAGAAAGAAGGAGTCCCTATCCTTCATGACATCATGGATGGAACTGGAGAGAATTATGCTAAGTGAAATAAGTTAGTCCATGAATGACAAATACCATATGATGTGACCTATAAGTGGAAGCTAATCAACAAAGCAAAAAAGAAAGCAATATATGACCAGAGATGCTGAAATAAAGAGCAAACTGACAGTAACCTGAGGGTAGGGGAGAGGGGGATGATGGGAGATAAAATAGGAAAGGCCATCAAGGAACATGAATGAAAGAAACATGGACAAAGACAAAAAAGGTATAGCATTGTGGGTGGAAGAGCAGGTATGTGAGGGTTGGGTGGAGTGGTAACAGGAAAATGGAAACAATGGTACCTGAACAATAATTAAAACAGGATGAAAGATAATGTTAAAAAATAACATGTCAGTAATTAAAATAATTTTAAGCAACTGAGCCCCCATTAAAATAAAAAAAAATAAAAGTACAACTCTTCATAAAATATTCACAGAATGTCTTAATACATCATGGTTTTACAGTTCCTCACCCAAGTTACACTTGTACATCCCACAGAAATTGAGATACAGGGACAGTGGAATGATTAAATTTTAGCAGATGGACATAGGCCCTTTTGATAGATACTGTCTAAATCATAACACTAGCAAAATAATTTTAAGGAGACTTGTATGTATTTTAAATGGCAAAAAAAAATAAATGTAATTACATATTGCAATTCCATTTCTAAAGAGAATTCTGTAAAATTTGGAGGTCAGAGGCCTGAAATCAGGAAGAACCTGTCTGAAGATTAACAAATCTGAGGGAACCTTGAGACCTCTGGGTCATAAGCAAACTGCTTTCTGCAAAGTGCAGGGAAATACAACTACATCTCTTGTAGCCAAGACATAATTTGCATCTGCATGAGTTCCTGCAATTTATAAATAGGTGAACAATAACTGACATTCCCTGAACAGAGCTAAAACTTGATGTCCCAGAAGGCTCTGGTTCTAGAGAATTACATTCAGACATTAAATTTATCTCTGCAGTCACTTTCCCATTCATCAAAATTAATCATTAAGGGAGAAGTGTGTTCCCGACCCTACAACATGGCTGGTGTCACCTGATTTAACCTGATTAGTTAGTTATCTAAGTGCAGAGGAACTGATATTCACCCCACAATTTGCTCTGGTGAGATTTTCCATGAAAAATATGATGGGAGTTTTAACAGCCTCTTGAAGTTAGGAAGCTTTACCCAAACACTTCACCTCCAGTTTCACTTTCTTTGGGTGATGTCTTTTCTGCAAGAGTTACCAAAAGTCTGAAAATGTCAAGGTTAGCTTTATAAAGTATGAGGTCATTTCCAATTCTATTGGCATCAGTCTGAAATAGCACATTTGAACAAAGCCTTGGTTTTATTACCAAAGGCTCAAAATATACCTCATTAACAAACAGAACAGAAATGCACTGAACTCATGCAAATAATTTTATTGGCATAGAAGGAAGAATACTCAAGAGAATTTAGAAATCTTTTGAGAGATTAAAGAGAAACACAAAAATCACTTTTGCTGCTCATATTGTTGTCTTTTTGTTCATTCCCATTGTCTACAACAGGTGACCTCCACATGTGTTCAGGGACAAGACACAGAGCTGATATTCTCTAAGCTCCTTACCTTCTCTCATTTGTTATCAAACAACTACTGCTCATCACCTGAGTGACACAGTGTCACAATGACCCCTCCACTGTGGATATGGTACACATGAAACCAAACCAAGGTGGGGTGGTGGTCTGAAATGTTATCTTATGTCAACAATAATGACCAATCAACTTACATTTTTCTACTGTTTACTGAATCAATGCAAATCTTTAAGAACTATTCACCCTCAAAATGAATCAATTATGATATTGCAAAAAAACTACTTTATTTAGAGTTTAACAACATAGAGGGGGAAAAAGAGTCACTAAACTTTCACATTCAGCCTAAGCGCAGCACTTGTGCCGGAACTTCTGGGGTTGGAGACTTTACAACGGTAAACACCAGCATCCCTTCTCAGGACAGGGTCTATGGTGAGGGTTCTCAGGTCAACTGACATATTCCTTCTTTCCGTGAGTGGCAGACTTACACCATTGAAAAACCACTCGATGTTGTCACTGTTTGTGTCGCAGGTCAGGACCACAGACTCCATATTCTCTGTGACTAGGGTTTTGCTGGCTCGGAGGGTGGGCACACTCACAGGTCCTGTGGAGAAGTAGAGAAAGTGACTCATTGAGAATGGCCTTCAGACATGCAGCCACATAGCTTCCTCAGAGATCTCAGCCCCTCACAGGCCACAGTGACTTAGGTAAAGCTCACCAGAGTGTGGTCCAGGCATTTGGAGGACACTTGTCTAAGTTCAGGTGACAATATTAAGGAAAGAGCTGCAACCACTCTCTGTTCCCAGATTACCTCAGGAAAAATATACCCAGAGACACTGCAATAAAGACAAACTGACAGTAACCAGAGGAAAAGGAAGAGGGGAATAACAGGGGAACAAGAGGGAAAGGGTCATCAAGGAACATGCATAAAGGCCCCATGGACGAAGCCAAAGAGGGGAAGGATTGTGGGTTGGAGGCGAGTGTGGGTGGGGTGGGGGAAAGTGGTGGCAGGAAAATACAGACAGACATACTAGAACATCAATAAAAAAACAATTAATTAACTTTAAAAAGAGAGAAGGCCAGGATTTCAATTGAGAAAATGCCATCTTTACGATGAATGGGGTTGAACACCAATATCCACATGAAAAGTAATGATGTGGATCCCTGTTTGATATTACACAGAATTAAGTCAAAATTATATCAAAATTAATTTCATATTCATGTCAAAACTAACAAAAATCAAGTCAAATTGTATCAAATTCTGAAGTTAGACCTGACCCATTAAAATGCTTAGAAAATGTATCAAGAGAAGCATTATGCCATTGAACTTTTCAATTATTTTATGAATGTGACCCTAAGAAGACAGGAAATAGACAATTTGGGTATTCTCAAAATAAAAAAAGTCTCTTCATAAAAAAAGACATAAGATGTTGAAAGGTGGCCCATAAAATGTGTGAAGACATTTTGCAAATCATATAAAAAATAAAAAGTTAATTTCTAGAATATACAAAAAGCCTCTACACTCAACAACCACCACAAAATCAAATAAGCCAATTTAAAAATGGAACAAAACACTTGAATAGACATTTCTCCAAAGAATATATACAAATGGCCCATAGTTAGAGGAGAAAATGCTCAACACCATGATTATGTACACAAACGAAAATCAAAGCTCTCATGGTTGAATTTGTTGCTTGTGATATTGGTTGTGGTTAACTCTCCTCTGCAGGAAAGAGAAAATAAATGTCCTGTGTGGTTCCTTTCATATCTCTAAAAGTGTCTTCAGTCACAGTCCGTACCTCTCACCTCTTAGTCAACTTGAGTCTTAGAAC